GGCACAAATAAACGGAAGCTGCTTAATTGTGCGCCCCATTAATGTTATAATAAAATACTGCCCTAATTGGAAAAATATTATTATTAAGCAGACAAAATGATTACGTGTCTCCTTTTCAGATGGAAACACCACCGCAGAAAGAAGGACAATTAACAGATTAGATTTAATTGCAGGGGGGAGGGGAAGAAGCAAGTTTGGGTCTGATGAGGATTCCTCCACCACCACCACCACCACCTATTAAGTATTAAGATATCGCGTTTCCATAGCCCCCCCCCTCCTCGAGGGGTAAAGAATATGGATGCAAATGATATCTACACGTTCATGCTCCCTAGTTGGGTTTTACAGATTAGTCAGCCTCTTTTTTCTGTGCCGAGGCTGGTGCTGTAAATCCGTGTGCAGATGTTCAGTTAATCTACCGTCCAAAATAGGTTTGTACTGAGGAACACATTTGGTTTCTTTTATTTCGGCTTAAAGATGAAAAGCGAAGGCTATGGAAAAGTTTCTGTGTGAAGGGTGGAGGGGAACACAACCCCCCCATGCAAACGTTTGGGCGTGCTTGCGCGCGCGTGAACCGGCTGGAAGGCTGTTAAAGATTATAAAGTTGGGATTCTTGGGAGCCTAAAGTGGTTTTTTTTTTCCTTTTCCTTGCTGCTAATACACTTTCTTCCTGTCCACAAGCCGAATAAACACCGCTGGATCCAGGGACATTTACTCTCGAGTAAACAGAGGCTTGCGCTTGTAAATAAATCAGCCTTTCAACGTTTGAAGCCACCGGATTTGGCACTTTTGCTTTCCAAGCGGGATCTGAGAAAGTTTTGAGGAGGGGACGGCGGGCAAGCAAGTGTGAGTTGCCGAGGACGACTGATCCTGAACATAAAAGACTTTCCTCTGGAGGTGGCCCACCCCCCACCCCCACTCCCTACCCCCAAGCGATTCAAAACTTCAGAGGTCCTTAAACGCACAGAATGCCCTCGCCCTTCTTCTCCTCTCCGGAAACAAACAGATTTTTGCGCGCTTTTAAAGCGAACCCCACAGAATACAGTATATCAGCTAACAAGCTGAAACTCTGTAAATGTTTGCTCTGGCAAAAAAAAACATAAACAAATCTGCCAAGGGATTCCTTTTTAAGTCATTTGTACACTACGCATTCTGAAGTGGACCTTCCCACTCCACCCCGTTTCCTTTTCTAAGTTTTATATATAAAAAAAAATTAAACTTTCCCATTTCTCTCAAAAATCGGGGTGGAATTTGTTTTCTAGGAAGCAAAACGTCCGCGCCGCTCCTTTTTAAAAGGAGGCGGATTTCCTTAAATCCAAAGAAGGTGAGCCTTTATGACTGGAGACCATAAGAAATGACCTGGCCGGGTTAAAATGGGCATCTATTTCCGTTCTGATAGGGCGGCTAGGAACAGCAGGTCTGTTGCCTTTGGAGGCAGAAGGTACCTCGAGGCACGCGCTAAGGCGAGGTTCAGTTCTTTTCTTGCAAATGGATGTCATTGACTCCAAGGGGCCTTCCCTTCCCCCGTAAATGGGCTTAAGGTCCTCGCCAAACGAAAGAGCCAGGCCCCCCTTTCCGCCCTCTTCAGGGTGGTCGACATACGCACCAGCCTGGCTTGAATTCTCCAGTCCCAGCTGAGAGGACTTTGCGAAGCAGAGCCTGTTGCCCGCCTTCACCTGGATGCCCTCCTCGCCTGTCCCCCCTCCCCATTTTCACATGCCGGGACTGAAAGGGGCTGTTGGTGTGACAACGCCCGCCCCAAACCCTTGGCCCTGATTTGTAGACAGCTCTTTCCTCTCCCTGCATCGTGGGAAATCGCATCCCTCTTTCCGCCTCCCACCTGAGGAGAAAGGATGCTAAGGATGGCCCGGTCCGGAGGGCTAAAGGCTGGGTTTCCCTTCACCCTAATCCGCGGAACCAAAATTAAAAGGGGGGGGGACACTAAAGACAGACTAAGGAAGAGTGAAAGAGAAAGTCAAGAGAAGTGGGTTGGGAACCGAACTATACACGCCCCAAATTGCCACGCGGTGTGAAAATAAGAAGGAAGGCTATTTGGGGGCTTACTTCCTCGGCGCAAGGAGCCAAGAATTGGATCCGAGGGGGAGGGAGGAATAAGTTAAATAAGCCTTTTTAGATTTGGAGACCAAATCTAAATATTGACGCGGTCTGAAAACGTGCGTCTTTTTGTCTTTTCTTTTTTTTTTTTTTTTTAAAAAAGGAGGAATGTGGGGGGAGCGGGAAGGAATGCCGAAATCAGAAATCAGGTCCCTCGAACTGAGAAGGTTAAATTTATGTAGTTTTACTACAAAAGGATAGAGGGCGAGGCAAGAAAAGCCGAGTAAGATGAACTCTATGGGCAAAAGTTTATCCATTGAAGCCAACGTCCCAGGAAGAGAGGCCAGTTTGGGATGCCCTGAAGGGCCAGCGACAGATTGAAGGAAAGCCCCTTTTTCACAAATCCTCCCAAGGTTCCTTTCCCGCGCGGAGGGCGCTTGCTGCCTGAGCTGCAGCGGGGCGACCCGGAGAGAGGAGGCTGAGGAAGCCCGTCGCCTTTCCTCGCGGAAAAGGATCCACCGGAGGTAGAGCGACATCAAAAGCAAGCCAGCGGAAATTAAGCGCTGGTTGCAAAACGCTGACGCGGGAATGGGGAAGGGGTGTCGGTGCGCAAGTGGAGAAGAAAAGCCCTAAACATGCCGGGATGAGATGGGATGCGGAGGTGGGGGGAGAGGGGAGGGGAGAATTGGACGGCTGTTTTTGTTACGAGCGCTCGGAGGAGCGCGAGGCAGGCGAGCAGGTCTGTGGCTGGAGTAGCTGTGCAGCCTGGTACCAGAGGGGTGTCTTCCGCGTTACTTTCCCCTAAGAGACGGAGGAGAGGGGGAAGAAAACTTGTGCTTCCAGGTCGCATTTCCCCCTTTGGGGCGGGGATCTGGCTAGCAGAAGCGATTCTAGCTAATCCAGCTTCAATCCCTTCTTTTGCCCCGGCCACAAGTCACCACAAAACAGAGCGGGCACGGAGAGGGAAGGGAAGGGGGATCCAGGCCTGGGAAGGGTCGGAAGTTAGGGCAGGGAATCCCCTCCCTCTTCAAAGAGAGCGAGTGTAGCGACTGGCCTCAAAAAGCCACGGGTGGGCGAGAGTTTCTGGAGGGGCCCTCTCAGTGGCGGCTGGGCGACAGCAGCAGCAGCAGCAGCAGCAGCAGCGAAGGGTGGAGACGGAGGAGGAGGAGCCGCCGCTCCAGCCCCGCCGCTCTCAAAACTTGAAAGTTTCTCTTGCCGAAATCAGCGACGCCCCGGCTGTGCGCATTCCTCCTTTCCCAGCGCGCGGGGAGGCATCGATTGGCGAGCGCCCTTGTGCCAAGCCGGCCTCGCGCCCAATCGAGGCTGCGGGAGCGGCGAGGAGGAGAGCGGAGGGGGCCAGGAGGAGGAAGGGGCGGCGGCGGCGAGGGGATACCCTCCTCCGCCCAGCAGCACAACAATCAACACCTTCGCCCACCAACACCCCCACCCACCCACCCACCCACTCCTCAAAGGCTCGCTGGGGGTCGCCGTCGGTGCCGGCTTAATATTTTGCCGGGGAAGCGGGATTGTCTCTTTCCAAACAAAAGCGAGATCCTTGGCACGGGAGGAGCAGCAAACTCAACGCGGGCGGCAGGACGAGAACAAGTCTGGAGGAGGAGGAGTGGCACCTAAGAGGGGTGGGGGCGCGTGGAGAAACCTCGCCACCTGTCTCGGGGCGAGAGGGGTGGACCGGAGGGAGAGAAAGAAAACTTCCGACCTCCGGACAACAGGAAGTGACCAGCTGCAGCCACAGCGGCAAGAACCAGGCGGCTCTGGACGAGAGAGGCTGTTAAAGCACAAAGGAGGGAGGACGAACGCCAGAAGCGAAAGGCAGAGAAGTGCTCAAAGTCTCCGAGTTTCGCTGTTTACTTTTTCTTTCCCCCCCACTCCCCTCTTCCTCTCCCACCCCAACAGAAGCCGCTTCCGGGCCAGGCTCGAAGGAATAAAAACTACGGGAGAATAGGCAGCGAAAGCAAAAGAGAAGAGGGAAAATATATTGTATTTTCTTTTTTTTATAAAACTGTGTCCCATCAAGAACATTTAGAGGCGCCGCAGAGAAACTTTAAGCGCGATGAAAAATAACTTCTGGGTAAAGAGGAACCTGGAAAAAAGACAAAGAGTGATGTAATTTCAAGAGAGAGAGAGAGAGAGAGAAAACAACAGCGAGGAAAACAAGGGAAGCAGAGCTACCCAAAAGCAAACCGCGGAGATCCTGCCCTTCTCCCAGCAGTGAAGCTTGTGCACCTATGTTGTGTAAAGTCAATTGCACACCCGCAGAAAGTGGTTCCCCCCGGACTGCGTGCGTGTGTTTTGCCGCCGCCTGTGTCCCTTCGGTTACTGCCGCCGTCGCAGTCGGTGCCTCTCGCAGGAGGCGCTGCCGGTGCCGGGCAGACGCAGCATTTGGCCGAGCGGAGCGTCTAATTGCCGAACGCCCTCCCGCATTTACATATGCAGCCCGAGTCCACTGGAGCCGGGCCAATCCGCGCTTGCCCCCAGCATCATTAATCGCCCTGCATTATTCACAATCATAATTACTGAGCCCCATGCGCGAGCCGCGCAGCCGCCCTATCTTTGCAAGCGCGCTCAGCACACAGCCCCGCGCAACACCCCGCCCGGCCGGCTCGTCCGCCGCCGCCGCCGCCGCCGCTTGGCTCGCTGGCGAATTTTATTTCTTCCGTTTTTCTCTTTGCACGCACGACAAACCACCCAAACCCCCCCTCTCGCCCAAACAAACTCCCCCCCCCCGCGCTAATTTGTTGCCGGTGAAATAAGGAGGGGGGGGATTTGGTGGCGGCGGTCCGACGCCACCAATACACTTTCCTCGCCACCAAGTCGTGTTTTTTTTTCCCACCTACCTACCCACCCCACCCCCCCTCTCCCCGCAGCGCTCCACCTCTTGCCGATGTCTCTGCAAAAAGCAGGCACAAGAAGCCACCTCAGCTAGCAGTATGTCTCGACGAAAGCAGGCTAAGCCCCAACATCTCAAATCCGACGAGGAGCTACAAGCTGAGGTGCTTCCCGAACAAGGTAAGGCGGGCAAGGCAAGGCAAGGCAAGGCAGGCAAGCAGGATTGGGCGACCGGAGTCGGGTGCCTACGTGCGCCTGTGTCTGCGTGTGTGTGTGTGTGTGTGTGTGTGTGTGTGGTGTGTGTGTGTTTATATGCGCGCGCGATGGGTGTTTTCTAAGCCCGGGGATCTGGTGGATTTTACTCTCTTTGGAGGGAGCTTGAGCCAGCCTCGGAGAAGGCCACCTCGGGAAAGAGGTAGGAGAAACTCGGGTGGGAGTTTTAAAGTTTAAAGCGGGCTGAAGCCGAAGTTTTTCGCTCTCGCCCCCCCTCCCTTTCGAGCAAGTGTTCCCTTCCAACAACGAAGGTCCCTCGCTGGCAAACTCGGCGTGCAGCGGAGGGCTTGAATTATGGCTGGACATCTGGAGGTGGGGGTGGGGGAAAGAGAGAGAAAGAGAGAGTAGTTAGACCGTCCCCCGCTCTCGGGAGTTGGAGGGTGGGAGAGAGAAGGACGTACTTACAAATTCGCGCTCCCCCCCCCCGCCGCCGCCCCGAGCGCGCGCGCTGCTGTTTCTCGCCGCCGAGCCTTGGATTTGCCGCCTTTTCTTTTCCTTTTTTCTTTTTCTTTCCTTTTTTTAAAGTCTGCGTTTCTTTCCTGGTGTTTGACTTTTGGACCGAAACGGCCGCTTTCTTTTTCTTTTTCCTGCCTTTCAGCCGTTCGTCGTCCCCGTTCCCTGAACGGCTTGCCGCCTTCTTTTTGCCCTCACTGCAAGAAAAGTTGCCAAGAGAGTTGAGGACGGAGGGTTGGGGTGAGGGGGGGGGTAGGGGAAGAAACTAAGAAGTGAAAAATCCTTTCTGGATCTTTACAGTGGTGTGAGACCTCCCTTCCCACCCATCCACCCCCCAAAACCCCAAACCATCCCGGAAGCGGCCCTGCTGGAGGCGGAGGCGGCTTCCCTGTCCCTTGGATAAGTAATAAACCCCTGCGAGCCGCTCCCGCCTTCGGCCTGACGCGCGTCTGAGGGGGGTGGGGTGGATAAAAATCATTCCTTTCGCGGTTCGTTTCGCATTTTACTCTGAAGTAAACCCTCGCCGGCCGGCTCGGCTGCTTGGCCGGCTCGATTCCGGATTAGAGTTTTAGGTGTAATTCCTAAAGTAACCGAGGGGGAAGGGCTGTGGGGGGGTTCCCCAGCGTCCCCCCCCCCAGGCACATACACACTCACACACACACACTGAGCAAAGATTGCGCAGGATTAGTTTTCTGAAGCGAGGTTTCGCTCTGATCTGCCGAATTTTGGGATGTTAGGCCTGCCTGGCTTTGGGGTGGGTGGGGTGGTGGGATTGTGTCCAAAGGCTAGGGAGTGTCCCATAAATAAGTAGAGATGGGTCAGATGTTCAAAGGCAAAAGAAAAGAGGTCCCTTCTAAATGTTAGGGAATAGGGGGTGACGCCTGGGAATAATTGTCAGGGCCTGGGGTGGATAAATTGTCTGCCCTGGGGCAGAGCTTAACTTGCCTCACGCCTGCTTTCATTTGCCACCACAATTGCCATGAAGATGTTCTTGGGTTTTCTTAGGATTTGAGGTGGATTATAAAATGGGATATTCGTTCAGCGCTTATTGAAAAGATTTTTTTTTGTTAAAAAAAAGAATTTATTTGGGCCCCTTAAGGCCAAGAGAGCCTGCAGGCATGCTCAGGGTGCTTATAAAACAAGTTGCATCTGGTTTCAAAATGATTTAGCTGCAGTTGGTTAAAGGGCTTTTGAGCTGTCTTTAGAAGTCAATTTGGAATAATTCTAAGCTCCAGAATCTGCATATGACATTAAAGTTTACCTATTCCGGGTTTTTTTTTTCTCCCCTGAACCTCAGATTGCATTTTTTTTTCAATTATGAAGGCCTTTCTGTGGTTATCACTTAAAATTTCCATGCTGATCATGATAGTGATAAAGAGGCAATCTTTGGGAGAATGATTCTGTTGCCCCTAGCTTCATTGGTTTCGTTTTTAAAAAGAATCTCCAAGGAAAACCACACATTTAAATGCTTAAGGAAAAAAAATACCCCCATACTTCATTGGACAAGAGGGGCTTGTGGAGAGAGAGAACTAAGCCACAAAAAGATTTTGGCTACTTTAAATCATCACTGCAACCTTGCAGTTTAGTGCAGCATGAACCGACTTTCCAAGGTAAATGCATTTGCTACATTGGCAATTATTCAGAACTTGTAATTTCCTCCATCTTTTTTTTAAAAAAAAATAAAGTTCTTGGAAAGAAGGGAAAGGCTGACCACTGCTGATCTGAACAGCTTCTTGGATAATGGTAATAATAAAAATGAAGTGAAACAAGTTTCTTGAAGGATAGTTGAAATTAAAACAAGAGATTCCTTATTTTACAATGTTTTTTTAAGCCTTAAGGATACTTCAGTAAAAACAGGATATTTATCTTTAGTAAAAGAAAAATGATAGGAAAAAAATCTATCAGGGTGGATTGATAGATTGCTTGGTTTAAGAATGTAAACAATACTCTGAATACTTTAAAAGTTAACAAGGAAAAACCTCAGAGCCTCATTATGACACTTCGGGCGAGTTAATAAATTGAAGAAAATTGTTCAACTAGGAGGTTTTTTGTTTTGCTTAGTAAGTCTTATCTATGTAGCCATGTCACCTAAGATTAGAACAGGAGATATGCTAAAAAGAAAAGCTTGCATATGGTGTGTAGATTAAGAACAAAGAATCTTTTTGTCATGGAAATGGATTTTCTCTCTCTTTTTTCCCCCTTTTTGGGGTTTTTTGTTTTGTTTACTTCATCACATAGAATTTCTCACACTTGGTTTGTTTTGTATCGCCCTCAATGACTACATGATCAAATGAATGGATTTATTTCTGGCGAATAAGAAAGACAGTCTTCCCATCAAAAGGACTACATTGCATCCCAGTGAGAAATTTTAAAGCGTTATTATTGTGGTCACTGAATAGCTCAAAATCGGCTTTACTAGCAGCCTTAAAAATGCAACAATGTAAATACTTCACTATTTTAGAGAATTGTGATCAAAATGTGCTATTCTCTTGTGTAATGCATGTCAGTATATAGAACATAATATATGTTGATAATTAGTTACATGCAGAGTTCTGCAATTTACCAAAATCACATCAGGAGCTAAATTGGTTAAGTTTTCTACATTTCTATCTGACTTAGTACAAATATTTTGCCTGCAAAAAGATTTAACCAGTTGTATATATTCTAGAAAAGATTATGTTGTAATTCAGACATATCAGGCATTTTCACTTTACAATTGTAAGCAATGCCACTGTTTCTGATTCTTAGTTTAGCAACAGGCCAAAACCAACACTTTAACCACATAAAACCTGCAGATTATATTTTTCAAAGATACCCACTATACTAACCTTAGTTCTCTTCAGTATTTTAATTTCTGACTCTCTAAAAGAATTCAAGTTATTGCGACATCCAGTAAATATACACATTTTATTATACATAAGAATACACACTTAGTGCTGCATTTTAGGGATATAATTTATTAAGAAAAGCTGTTAAAAGTAGGTATACTTTTTCCTCTACAGAAAGAATTTACACAGTAGCAGAAAGAAACATGACAGTTTGACAGACTAAAAGATAAATATCAGGCTATATTTAAAATTATATGAAGACCAGTAAATTTAGGTAGCAGTCTTAAAATAGATATTTTAGAAGCACGTTAATAATTAGGACCTCTAGAGCAATGGGACTTTTTTTTTCATAAAGCAGAACACTTCCAGAGATCCCAAAACTAGTCAGAATAACATAAACTACTACATTGAAATGTTTGTTGTTGGAGAGAGAACTCATGCTTTTGGTAATTTGGAAAATGAATGCTTACATGCAGTGATTAATTAGAATCTGCATAGTGGTTGATGCTGACAAGTCATGAACAAAAGGTATTTATGCACAAAACATTTAAAAGGATGCCATATTGAAATAAATGGTCATTATAAAGAGTGGCAAAATATCTGAAGGAATTGTTATAAATCCCAAGGTAGTTAATTTGCTATTCTATATGCTAAATGAGTTAATCTCGAGAATCAGAAGAATTTACATCTCCATTTTAACATTTCTTTAAATCAACAGATTACTAGTGCTATAGAACAGTCTTGTTTTGTTACAATTGGAAACACTGCATTCACTTAGGAACCAGATGCATTCACCAATTTGTGGGGGGAGGGGTACCACATAGCACTTTCAAGTGGATAATAATTGAATAGAAATTAGCTATAAAATTGCTAAAAGGGATTTCTAGAATGCAATTTGTACAGATTAAAGTAACATGGTTTTTTGTTTGGTTTCAGTTTAAAGTGGACCAGCTCTTAGAATAATGATAGGTGGTTTTCAAATAATTGTAAAATGCATTTATATTGTATTAAGGATTTTTGTGACATACTAAATTTGTTTTAAAAACCTGTTCACCATAATTCTTATATTTGAACTATACATCTTTCCAAAATCCAGTTGTAACATTTTATTCCAGTTCATCATTTAGTTACTTACTTTTTATTCCTTTGAATATATTCTTTAAAAAAACCGTTCCTGTTTACTCTGAAGTAAGTTCATTTAAATTCAGTAGGTTTATTCCAGTAGATATAAGACAGTAGAATTAATGTTCATAAAAAACATATAAATAGAATGTGTTGCTTTCTATTATACTTAACCTATAATACTCTTAAAAACATTAGAGATGATATGAAACGTTTAATTAAACATTAAATTTTGTGATTTTTTTTAACAAATTGCCTTTTAAAATAATAAAAGGCCCTTGTATTTTCCAATTTTGAAACAATTATTTAAGATATTAGATTTATTATCAGTGTGAGGGAGGAGAATTACCCTATATTGTGCACAGCTGTATAGTAAATGTTCACATTATATTTTATGTACTATTCAAACTAAAGGATGGTTTAATAGCATGTTAATTAAAATTTGCTTATTTTAGTATACAAATGCAAAAATAAGATAGTGTAATTTTTGTGTTACTGCTGGAA